TGCTGAATTCTATCAGACCTTTAAAGAAGAACTGATACCAACCCTCCTTAAACTGTTCCATGAAATAGAAAGGGAAGGAAAACTGCCAAACACATTTTATGAAGCCAGTATTACACTTATCCCAAAACCAGGCAAAGACACCTCCAAAAAGGAGAACTATAGGCCAATCTCCTTAATGAACATTGATGCAAAAATCCTCAACAAAATAATGGCAAACGAATTCAGCAACACATCAAAAAGATTATTCACCACGACCAGTAGGCTTCATCCCAGGGATGCAGGGGTGGTTCAACATACGAAAATCAATAAACGTAATAAACCACATTAACAGAAGCAAAGACAAAAACCACTTGATCATCTCAATAGATGCAGAAAAAGCCTTTGATAAGATCCAACATCATTTCATGATAAAAGCTCTAAGAAAACTAGGAATAGAAGGAAAGTTCCTCAACATTATAAAAGCTATATATGACAAACCTACAGCCAGCATTATACTTAACGGAGAAAAATTAAAACCATTCCCTCTAAAATCAGGAACCAGACAAGGATGCCCACTATCTCCACTCCTATTCAACATAGTACTGGAATTCCTAGCCAGAGCAATTAGGCAAGAAGAAGGAATAAAAGGAATACAAATAGGTAAAGAAACTGTCAAAATATCCCTATTTGCAGACGACATGATCCTATACCTTAAAGACCCAAAAAACTCTACTCAGAAGCTTCTAGACATCATCAATAGCTATAGCAAGGTAGCAGGATATAAAATCAACATAGAAAAATCATTAGCATTTCTATACACTAACAATGAGCAAACGGAAAAGAATGTATGAAAACAATTCCATTTACAATAGCCTCAAAAAAAATCAAATACCTAGGTGTAAACCTAACAAAAGATGTGAAAGACCTCTACAAGGAAAACTATACACTTCTGAAGAAAGAGATTGAGGAAGACTATAGAAAGTGGAGAGATCTCCCATGCTCATGGATTGGTAGAATCAACATAGTAAAAATGTCGATACTCCCAAAGTAATCTACATGTTTAATGCAATTCCCATCAAAATTCCAATGACATTCATTAAAGAGATTGAAAAATCTACTGTTAAATTTATATGGAAACACAAGAGGCCACGAATAGCCAAGGCAATACTCAGTCAAAAGAACAATGCAGGAGGTATCACAATACCTGACTTCAAACTATATTACAAAGCAATAACAATAAAACAGCATGGTACTGGCACAAAAACAGACATGAAGACCAGTGGAACAGAATAGAGGATCCAGATATGAAGCCACACAACTATAAGCAACTTATCTTTGACAAAGGAGCTAAAAATATACGATGGAGAAATAGCAGCCTCTTCAACAAAAACTGCTGGGAAAACTGGTTAGCAGTCTGCAAAAAACTGAAACTAGATCCATGTATATCACCCTATACCAAGATTAACTCAAAATGGATCAAGGATCTTAATATCAGACCCCAAACTCTTAAGTTGATACAAGAAAGAGTAGGAAATACTCTGGAGTTAGTAGGTATAGGTAAGAACTTTCTCAATGAAACCCCAGCAGCACAGCAACTAAGAGATAGCATAGATAAATGGGACCTCATAAAACTAAAAAGCTTCTGTTCATCAAAAGAAATGGTCTCTAAACTGAAGAGAACACCCACAGAGTGGGAGAAAATATTTGCCAATATACATCAGACAAAGGACTGATAACCAGAATATACAGGGAACTTAAAAAACTAAATTCTCCCAAAACTAATGAACCAATAAAGAAATGGGCAAGTGAACTAAACAGAACTTTCTCAAAAGAAGAAATTCAAATGGCCAAAAAACACATGAAAAAATGCTCACCATCTCTAGCAATAAAGGAAATGCAAATTAAAACCACACTAAGATTCCACCTCACCCCTGTTAGAATAGCCATCATCAGCAACACCACCAACAACAGGTGTTGGCGAGGATGCGGGGAAAAAGGAACCCTCTTACACTGTTGGTGGGAATGTAGACTAGTACAACCACTCTGGAAAAAAATTTGGAGGCTACTTAAAAAGCTGGACATCGATCTACCATTTGATCCAGCAATACCACTCTTGGGGATATACCCAAAAGACTGTTACTCCAGAGGCACCTGCACACCATGTTTATTGCGGCACTATTCACAATAGCCAAGTTATGGAAACAGCCAAGATGCCCCAGCACTGACGAATGGATTAAGAAAATGTGGTATCTATACACAATGGAATTTTATGCAGCCATGAAGAAGAACGAAATGTTATCATTCGCTGGTAAATGGATGGAATTGGAGAACATCATTCTGAGTGAGGTTAGCCTGGCCAAAAGACCAAAAATCGTATGTTCTCCCTCATATGTGGACATTAGATCAAGGCAAACACAACAAGGGGATTGGACTTTGAGCACATGATAAAAGCGAGAGCACACAAGGGAGGGGTGAGGATAGGTAAGACACCTAAAAAACTAGCTAGCATTTGTTGCCCTTAACGCAGAGAAACTAAAGCAGATACCTTAAAGCAACTGAGGCCAATAGGAAAAGGGGACCAGGAACTAGAGAAAAGGTTAGATCAAAAAGAATTAACCTAGAAGGTAACACCACGCACAGGAAATCAATGTGAGTCAATGCCCTGTATAGCTATCCTTATCTCAACCAGCAAAAACCCTTGTTCCTTCCTATTATTGCTTATACTCTCTCTACAACAAAATTAGAATAAGGGCAAAATAGTTTCTGCTGGGTATTGAGGGGGGGGGGGAGGGGGGGAGTGGGTGGTAAGGGAGGGGGTGGGGGCAGGGGGAGAAATGAACCAAGCCTTGTATGCACATATGAATAATAAAAGAAAAATGAAAAAAAAAAAAAAAGGCATTCTGCGGCTTACCAATAACCAGGTTGTTTCACTGTGACTTAACAGCGATACCCCATTCTTCCACTATGATGCTGGGGCTGGCATTTGCCTCAATGAGCACTTTTGTAAAGCTCATTTCCTGGATGACAACGAATTTGGTTATACAATAGGGTGGTGGACCTATGGTCACATGGCCTCCAAGAGTAAGAGCCCCTGGACCATCCACCCCAGCAAAGAATGCCTAGGAAAAGAGAGGTCCTCAGCTGCTGTGAGTCCCTGCCCCACTCAGTCCTCTGACACACTGAGAATCTCTATGCCCCTGAAGAAGGGAGGACTTAAAGCCCTACTTCCATCAGTAACCATCACTGCACACACACACACAACACACCCCAAATATATATTGATAAACAAGAAGTTGTGCCTCAGGATATTGGTGATTTTGAATTAATTTTTTAATACTTAAGTATTACTTGCTATTAAAGAATACTATAATTTGTTCTCCTGGCAATGGAAAAAAAAATCTTAATTGCAGAGGAAAAAAAAACATAAATGACATGAGCTTTGGGCATTTTTCAGGAACTTTTTACCTTGTCAGCCCAGGTCAGGCTTTTAATTATTTTTGGCCATAAGCTATCCTAAAACTTAGGTGGAAAAAAAAAAAAGAGGAAGAAATGCTATCTTTAAGATAAATTATAATAAACAACCAAAAACTAACAAATTATCATCACCAATATGTAATTTAGATGTTTCTCAGGAAATTCAAATATGATAAAATGAGTGTATTTAGGTTAGATCTTAAAAATGACAAAGCAACCCCACACAGAAGATGGCAGCTCACATGGAGTAGGTATTGATGAATGTTTAATTAAGGAGTAAAATGACAGTGTCTCTTGCCAGGAAAGAAAAGCAAAATTAAAAAAATTTTTTTCCTATCCATGTTCCATTATTCTAAAAATATGCTTATATGGCACATACTCAAAAATGGATCAGTTTCTAGAAACAATGGATTCACATCCTAAAGATGAACACAATAATTTCAAAAAGAAAAGTAGACACATGAGGCAAAACTTCACCATGCAAAGATATCAGGCTTGCTCACAAAGATCAACTCTACAGCCTGTGGAAGTGAAGGACATTCCAGAACTGGAGTAGGATATTAGTTTCTTTATGTTCAGTCCATTAGCAAGAGGGAACAAAGGAAAGATGAAAGTGCACTCATGTTCCAGGCCAAAGAAGAAGCCTGCAGACTTTCAACCACATTGTTCAAGTTCCTGTGTCTTGTCCACGCCTGTCTCTTCTTATGTCTCTCTGTTCACTGGCCATGGAGCTCTCTGGTTTATTAGAATACTAGGATAAATAAGGAGTTCTACATCCCAACTGTGAGACTTTGCTGGCCTCCCCTCATAGCCACACTAATATATAGCATCCTGTCGCACTGCTAGGAGAAACCCTTGAAAGCTGATATTGATCTAATCCCTCCTGCAGCATGATGACAGAGAGAAAACAAAACAACCCCAAACCAGAAAACACCTGTTTTCCTAAGGGTGATTCTTCCATTTAAAAATATTTTGGGGCTGGCAGAGTGCTCAAGTGGTAGAGCGCCTGCCTAGCAAGCATGAGGCCCTGAGTTTCAACCCCAGGCCAAAAACAGAAATGTTTTAAGTTCCATTACTTCTTTTACTCAGTCATAGATCAAAATGGTCAGTTTCCAAACGGGAATATGCCTACTAACTTTCCAGATCAGAATACAGAATTGACACAGTTAAACTAATGTATATGAGCACTGAATATTGTTTAAAGAAGAAGTGCAAGTGAGCTGGGGATGTGACTTGGTGGTATGGTGCTTGCCTAGCATGCTCTAGGACCTGTGTTCAATCCTCAGCACAACCAAAAAATAAATAAATCAATAAAAAGATATGCAAATAGTGGTGGGACCCATAGAAGAAAGCACCAAGGGCTGGGATGTAGCTCGTGGTACAGCGCTTCCTAGCATGCGTGAGGCCCTGGGTTTGATCCCAGCACTGAAAAGAAAAGACAAAAAAAAAAAAAAATTCTCCCCAAAGAAGAAAGCACCAAACATCTGGGTGCTGAGGAGTAAAAAATCACAGTGATCTGGTAACCCACCCACTCCTCTTACCTTCAACTCTCTGGGCTGAGCTGGCCTGCTGGATCCATTGCATGGAATGTTCTGGTAGGGGCAGATGAGGTGGTGTTTACCCAGGACTCCGGGATGAGAAGCTGAAAGGTGGGTTGCCATGGTCCTGCAGGTCTTTACACTGAGCCAGGCCGTCTTGGGGAGTGCTCAATTCTTCAGAACAAGGCTGGACTGAGCTAGATGAGATTCGTCTTTGGTACAAGGGCCGACCGGGTCCTCGGGGTTCATACTACACACAAAAAATGGACATTCTGTAAATCAGTGCACCTCGTTCCACACCCTACCCCCTTTTAGTCTCACTATGCAGAAATTCTCAATATTCTCTTCTGTGACTGTGAAACTACCCCTCAACCCCCAAAAAGGTGGGGGGGGGGGGCAGGCTGGACTCTGACAAGGTGCCAGGAGACCTGGGCTCAAAACTCAGCTCTGTCTTTCACTATGCAGTCTGGTGATAACATATGCTCGATTTCAGATTCTGTTTTCTGGTTTTACAATATGGGACTTGATGTTGTCATCACTTCTAAAATGCTATTGCCATTTTGAGTAACAGTAGAGTAAGCATATGATGAAGGACTCTAAAGCGAAGTCACAAGACAGCTGAATCAAGCCACCCTGAGCAGAGTACTGAGCAGAATTATCTCTTGAGCTTCAAACTGCCCAATTTTATTTTCCTTAGACCTAGGCCAAGATAACGGTTCTCCTGTCCAGTATAAGCATCCTGACTGAGAATTTCACTGTCTTACTTTTTAGTCAATCAGTGACACAGAATATCATCTATAGCTAGCTCTTCAGAAAAATTTTTACATATTTGAAATGATTCATTACTTGAAACTTTCTCCTATCTTCCTAAACGTGCACAATCCAAAGCCATTTGCCCTCTAGACAAGAGCTGTATACTGGCCATTTTAAGATTTTTATTGTTACCTAGGTGCTCTCCAGTTTGTTCTTGGTGCCTGACTTGGTGATGAACGTGGGTGTTATTCTAATGCAGGCCGTGCAAAATCAGGGTGAATACCAGTCTCCATCTAGAGCCGAGTCAGGGCTTGGGCAGTGTCACCTTGGATAACTGACCTAATATCTTGGGAACCCCCAGTACCCACCTCTTGGGATAGATGAGAGAATTAAATGAGTTAAGAATGCATAGCATTAGATTAATTCCTGGCATTTAAGAATGGTTCACTGCTACGTACTGTTTTACTGTAAACAAAGAGTTCATGTTCAATCTTAAATGACAGAATGGGATTGTTTTTTTGTGCTATTCAGCTGTGTCAATTATGATTCTTGACGACTCTTTTCTTTCACCACTGCTATAAGTGGAGCTTGGATTAAATAAGAGACAGCTGATCAGGCTATTAATAGTAGGATGCTTTTTGGAAACACAACAGAACACAACACAGGCAGACCTCATCAGGCCAATTAAATGAGGGAAGATGGGAGAACAAAAGGCTGAACCAAGGAAAACACTAGGACATAAATCAGGAAGGGAACAGATACTGCCTGGCTGTGCATGTGCACAAAAGCAAGCAAAAGGTAAGGTGTGAGAGTAGGAATGTAGCTTAGTGGTTGAGTGTTTGCACAAGGCTCTGGGTTGGAAACCCCAGGTCCACAAAAACAAACAAACTTGAAGGGTAATGTGCCTGTGCCAGATCATGTCTGGCATTTCTAGAGTCTTAGCTACTGGATAAGGAAGCTGAGGGGAATATTGCCATCTAGTTAATTCTTTCTCACATGGTTTTGGTTTTGTTTTGTTTTGTTTTGTTTACTTGCATTTTAATCATATCTTCTGCACTTGTTTTTCTTGGTTTGGGTTTGAATCTCATCTGATATAACTGTTCTGTAAACAGTTTAATTTTTTTTTATTATTATGATTGTGCATACAATTGCTCGGGGTTTTCTCCCCTCCCCCCCTCCTTATCACCCACTCCAACCCCTCCCTCTCCCTCCCCACCCCTCAATACCCGGCAGAAACTATTTTGCCCTTATCTCTAATTTTTGTTGAAGAGTGGAGTGTAAGCAATAATAGGAAGGAACAAGGGTTTTTGCAGTTGAGATTAAGGATAGTATCAGGGAGTTTGACTCACATTAATTCCGGCGTTTGTGTTACCTTCTAGGTTAGTTCTTCTTGATCTAACCTTTTCTCTAGTTCCCTGGTCCCCTTCTCCTTATTGGCCTCAGGCTTTTAAGGTATCTGCTTTACAGAAGCACACAAGGGAAGAATGAGGATAGTAAAGAACCTAAAAATTAGCTTAGCATTTGTGCCCTTAATGCAGAGAAACTAAAAACAGATAGCTTAAATGCAACTGAGGCCAATAAGGAGAAGGGACCAGGAACTAGAGAAAAGGTTAGATCAAAGAAGAATTAACCTAGAAGGTAAACCCACGCACAGGAAAATCAATGTGATGTCAATGCCCTGTATAGCTATCCTTATTCTCAACCAGCAAAAACCCTTGTCCCTTCCTGTTATTGCTTATACTCTCTCTAAACAAAATTAAAGAGATAGGGAAAATAGTTTCTGCGGGTATTGAGGGGGTGGGGGGAGAGGGGAGGGGTGGAAGTGGGTGGTA